CAAACATGTGTGATGTTGGGGGGAAAAAAATAAAATAACCAGAGGGAAAAAGTTTGTGGCTGATCACCAGTATATATCTACACTGTAGGAGTGCAGACTGGGAAGGGTCGTATAGCCATTACATAGTCCTCTATTGCCCATGTTGCAGGAAGCCAGCTTTCTCCAGCAGTCCTGTGCTGTCCAGGGTCTGTGGCAGATACAGACACTGTTGCAAAAGATCCTGTAGTGGAGATGAGCACATGAGGGCTGTCTGGAGCAGGGCATGGGTGCAATGCAAACAGCCTCACCCTCAATGGGCCTGTGCATCTCTGTTGTGCCCTCCAACACCACTGGCTCCTGTGATCAACAGTCCATGATGGTGGGCTTCTGGATGCTTAGAAACATGAGCTAGAGTTGCTCACACTATTAATTTTCAACTATGAGTTCCCACAGTATCTGAAGTCAGGTTTTCCAAAATGTGTGTGTAGAGCTGCCAGTCTTCAACTGTTGCTCCCAGAGGAAAGTTCACAGGACTGGTGACACAGGATGCTTCAACTTTTTGGAAATTGGTTCTAAAACACTTTCAAAAGGGCAGAATCTCAGATTACATTCAGAACCAGGCCAAATGCACCTTAGATTTAAGGCAACAGAGTTACAAGTTCTTGAAAATGAAGTTTCTTTCCCCCTCTCTTTCCCGTCTTTTTTATTGTTGCAAGTACATGCTACTCCTGTCATTAGGACTTTTTTTTTAATTCTAATTGGTGATGCTGTGTTATTTCAATAGCAATTATTTTCAGGAGTTTTGTATGTAGCTGTTTGTCAGTTTATTGAAATAAACTGCCATGCGTGCACCCTGATCAAAGCAAAAAGCATGAAATCCCACATGTTGCACTGTTGAGAGCATCAACAATAAAGCTAACCTTTCACCCTTGACTTTCTTTTAACCCTAATTTTGAAAGACAATGGCAAACAATTCAGCTAACTTCTGAAGTGAAAGAATATTCAGAGTAGCCTGATTGTAATGCAATGTTCATTTTCAAGTGAATGGAACATCTCAGAGTAATGCATACAAAAATACAGAGGCTGGACAAGTTCATTACTTTGGAGTTTCTAGTGTAGTGATGGTAGTGAAATGGTTAAAATGTTGGCTTTTAAGTGGTCACAATTAGGCTTCAAAGTTAACACTCCACCCCACTGAGATGAATGGGAGCAGTTGACATTTCTTAGTGCTATTGTTTCAGTCTGGCTTGCTACAGATTCTAAAATAAGACAACAGTACATCTGTTTACATTCTGCTTCCGCAAACCCAGATGGGCTAGAAACTTCATTGTTTTTTAAGTGGAAGCTTAGATTCTGGAGAATACAGCAATATCCACTGGGTATCTGTAGGAAGAAGAGCTGAAAGCCTTCCTAATCACTGACATATCCCCCTTCCCTGTAAATTTCTATTGTCCTAGGACAAGCCTGTAAACCACTGAGGGGGAAAATAGTCATGTATATTTGAAATATTTTTTTATTTGTTACATGACATGCACACAATAACTTCACAGTAAGTCCCTAACATGCACATTTTCATAAGCGGGTGATTTTTTCCCCCAGATTTTTCTCTTTCAGTAAGCAGTACGTGCTGTGAATGAAGGTAAAGGTCCTAGCTTCCCTGAACTCGGTAGCTCCTCTAGACTGCTACTAACTTAATAACTTCTCTGGTTTCCAGAGAAGCCAGAATTTCACCTAGAAGCTTTTGAGAGCAGGTGTTACTTTCTTTGTTCACGTAAGTAGAATCATTTCATTTACTTCAGAGAGTAATATAAGAAGAAATAAGAAGATGTTTGAAAGATATGTTTTACATTTCTCTGATACTTAAATGAGGCGGCTACGTTAACTTCAGTAAGATCTTAGGGGCTAGAATGGATTAATAAAGGTGCAAGTAGGGCCAGAATCTGTAGCAGATGGTCTCTATTACCCCATGCGTCAGTTGGTGTGAGAAGTACACAGTGTCCTCTCTGACTTTTGCTGAGGGGTCTGCACAGTGGCAAACTGCCCTCAGTAGCAGCCAGAACCCTATGAGAGCTTCTCTGATAAAGGTGGCCCATTAGATATGCTCAGTCTGTGGATTGAAACCAGCTGTGAATCTGTCGGAAAGATTTTCCTCATTGTGCTTTCATCAAAGTGGAAAGTTTCTTGCTTTTTCTGCATATATGTAATTTGGGCTACATTGCTCTAACTTTGCAATTCCTAGAGTCTGCCAGTGATAAGGGCTCTCATGCATGCAGGTCCCTTTTGTACATTTCCACCCAGAGACCCTGCCTGCCTTTTGCCCATGGACAACACAGCTTGTGCTTCGGAAGCGACATCGTGGGCTCTCCCAACTGGTGTCTCCCAAATTTCAACCCCTGGTGAATCATATTGTGAAGGCAAGTCTACCATCTGTGATTTGGGCTTGTGCAGCTCCCTGCCTGTTGTACAGGGAGATGTAAAATGAGGAGCAAGCATGTGAGGGAACAAGTTTTCATGCTAGATGTTCCACTGGCCCGTCAAACAAGAAATCTGTTTTTCTCTGCTGTCTGTGGTGGAGGTCTGTGCTGCCTGCAAGTATAGTGGAACAGGGCTGAGTGAAAGGAAGGGCTATTCCATTGCTACAGTCATGATTATTTGGGGTGATGGTAGAAGGAAGGCTGCTCCTTATAGTTGTCTATATGTCTATGTCTGATCACCTCGTTTTTCCTAGCATACAATGCGTGGTCAGAGCATGTCCAGCTTGTTTCCTGTCCAGCTTCAAGCAGCATTTTCATCAGAGAAGCAATTAAAACAGTGCTGAGCCCAGGCAGGCCCCCAGATTGTTTGAGACCGCTGTGGGCTTTACGATAGTTGAAGCTGGCTCATCTCTTGTCCATCTTTTCAAGTTCCTGTGGGGGAATGCAGCAATCTGGTCAGTATGAAGAGAATAGAGAATAGGGCTACCAAGATGATTAGAGGGCTGGAGCATCTCTCCTATGAAGAAAGACTGCAAGAGCTGGGCCTGTTCAGCCTGGAGAAGAGAAGATTGAGAGGGGATCTCATCAACGTGTACAAGTATCTGAAGGGGGAGTGTCAAGAGGAGGAGCCCAGCCTCTTCTCCGTGGTGCCCAGCAACAGGACAAGAGGCAACGGGCAGAAACTGAACCACAGGCAGTTCCATCTGAACCTGAGAAAAAACTTCTTCACTGTGAGGGTGACAGAGCATTGGAACAGGTTGCCCAGAGAGGTGGTGGAGTCTCCTTCCCTGGAGATATTCAAAACCCGTCTGGATGTGATCCTGGGCAATATGCTCTAGGTGACCCTGCTTGAGCAGGGAGGTTGGACTAGATGATCTCCAGAGGTCCCTTCCAACCTAAACGATTCTGTGATTCTGTGATTCTGTAATACATGAGAAAACCAAGAGGAGTATTTATTCTGAAAGCTTCTCTCATGGTTTGTTTAATCTTGCTATTTAAAAATATCACTTTACAACTAAAATAATGTTAAAACCTACTGGAAAAAAGCTATTACAGTGTGACAGAACTCCTACAGTGTGCAGCAAGAAACACTTGATACAATAGCAGGAGGAAGGGCATGTTATTTAAGCAAATAGAGAGTTAGAGAACAGGTTCAAATATGCGTTTGTTATATTTGTTTACATTATCTGCTTCCTTAACCCATTTCTGACTGTGGATCTCAAAGTATTACATAGACATCAATTGTATCTAACATGTCTGGCTGAAGAAAGTAGATGTCCTATTATACCTTTAAAATATAGGTAAAATGACTTCTGCAAGGTAGGTGTCAGAGTCTGGGACAGAAACTAGGAGACCTGTTGGCCAGTTCTGTGCATTAACTAACAAACTGAACTGCTTCCCTGTGTTACAACCGGGTTGTGATACTTATGTGTTTCAGAAGCCTAATCTTTTTCTATTTTACCCTAACACAGAGGCTTTTCTGAGTAGACCTGAAGAAAATATTATTATAGCTTCTCTGCTGCTAGTGCCTTAATAGTCCTTTTGCCTCATATTCAAGGTGATTTTGATAATAGAATTGTCTTTTAGACAATATTAAACATAAGGTATTCAGGTGCCTCTAGCTGGGACAGAGCAGGAATCTGCCATGAAGATAACATTGTAATGTAACTTCTGAAAAATTAGTATGAATGAGAAAAGAAAAAAAGATTATTCTGTTAAGTGTTTAATATTGTGCAGTTTGTTCTTTGGGAAAAGAAAATGGAAGATTCCATTCTGTGAATATTTAGTTTTAAGTCAGTTCTGCATTTAGTTGCATTTCCCTTTTGTAGTATATTTCCTTAGTTGATTTGTAGTTTAGGTGGTCTGAGCTTGCTTGCTAACTAGTATTTCCCACTAAGTAGCAGAATCCTAGTTCTCTCTGAGCAGGTGAGTATGTTATGGCAGTCGTTATCCCATAGAAGAGGATGAGGGATGCAGAGGGTCACTCCTATAACTCTAATGAGAACTGCCCTGTGATGGAAAAGAGAGTCCAGCAAATGAAAATAAACTTTTCAATTAATGGATATGAAAAAATGGAATTTCTTCCCAAAACACCCCCAAAGTTTTATTTCTTATTAGAAATTCTTTTAAAAAAATCGTTCCAAAAATGTGTTGATATTTACTTATTCATCCCAGTTTAAGAAAAAAACTTGTTGAGATACCAGAATATTCTTTAGAATGAAATTTCTCATGTTTTTGAGCTCTTATTATGAAAATGATATACAAGTTTTTTTTTTATTATTTATTTTTCTTTCTATCTTTTTTTTCCAGGCTAGAAAATGAAAATAGATTAGTCGAACAGCGTTTACACTGTGTTCTGTGGACCAGAGCTGACTTGTAAAACTTGTTCTTTCAGTAGTTTTATTGTTCAAATGTTGATGCTTCCTGTTACTTCTAGCCTTGCTTTTAGAATTTGTGAACGAGTATGCTTAAAGAAAAGAAGAGTACTACTAGTCAAGTATATGCCTTTTGTACAGCTTTACAGTTTCATGAAATCAGAAATGATACCTGAACTGCAGAGATAGCATATCCTCTGAGGGGTGGAGTCAACTGAAAAATGACAGAAATGACAGCAGTCAGTGAAAGAAATCTGGGACGTCTACACTTCAGGCATTCAGTAAGAAAGAGGAAACAAACAGCACAGGTAAAACATAAAGTATGTGTAATCAGAGCCAATACTCTGTTAAACTTTATGGCATAGGAACTGTAATTTGGTTTGCTGTTTGAAGAACAGAAAGTCATTGGAGTTCATGACAGGGACTAATAAAGCAAGTAATGAACAATTATGATTTCAATGAAAGCTACATGATCTTAGCTGCTACATCATACTGAGTTTTGTTTCCATATTGCCTATCGTTGTTTTACTGTTCGAACGCCTCATTTTTGTGTAGTGTGAATGTTGTAGTGTACGTGACTAGATTCACTCCTTACTGGGACATAGGCCAAGATTTTCAAAGTGGTTGTTTATTTTGAGTGTCTCCATTTTATTAAGGGTCCAAAATTAAGATATTTCAGAGAAGAGAGATTTTGAAGAAGTACAGAGCATGAAACATCTAAAAACCGATTGTCTATGTGGTGTGCCAGTACAGCAAGGAAAAATAAAGAAAAAAGGGATGCAACCAAAATCAGTGTACACTGTCCATAATTTTAGGGTCTAGTCTTTGTTTTGGTGAGTTGACCTGAGGCCAGCAGATCTGGGTACTGCTCTTCTGGAACCTGCTCCAGGAGAGAACACGTTCCCCGCTATGATCCAGTATATAAGGAAGCCTAGCCAAGCAATGTAATAGCGCCCTGTTTCTGCACTTCTCTTCAATAACTTCCTGATTGCTCTCGGGCTGCATCTAAGATTTGGATGTGGTCTTCTATTAAGATAGTGGTGAGATCACTTCCATAGGGAGAATCTAAGTAATATGTGCAGATTATATGATATAATACATATAAATATATGGTCTTTGTATTGCATTTTTCTGTCCATTGTGTGGATGTATCTGGCTAATGCAGGGGTAGCAAGAGGACAGACTCTTTAAAAAGTAAGCCACGGCATGAACATGGCTGCTGCCAGCATAGTTGGCTTAGAGCTAACTTTTCCCTCAAATTCCATCTTGCTAATACAGAACAGTACTTTTTGAGGTGCAGAAGAAAGTTCAATTAAAAGAAATACTGATGTTGAATAAAACAGTCCTGGAAGCATTTCTATAGGTTTTAGCTTTTTTGAATGCCTATTTTTAGGACTAAATATCAGGTGATATGGCTCCTTCAAAAACCCACTTTGGATTCAAGGAAAGAAAATAATGAAGCATAAGTTGTGAAGACTTAATTGTTAAAAATGTAACAATAGCTTAAAAACAGGCTGCACAGCCTACTCTCACAGCTGGAGGAAGGGATACTTTATTAATAGTTGCAAAGAATGGTAGATAGGGCCTGAAAGAGGCAGCAAGGGATATAAAAACAAGCCTTGTAACATGAAAGCATTGCCAAAATCCTTTACTGAACAATTTCTGAAAGAGCCTGCGTCCCATAGGCATCAAGATAATAAAGTGATGAACACGTTATAAGAGCTTTGACAGATATGCCTCACTAAAAGTTAGGATGCACTGCTGTTGCACTCCAGGTCCACACTCATAGATAATTTTGCAGCCTGGAGATGAGCACATGTTCCTAACAGTAGCCCTGGCTCACTGTTCAACGGCCTATGTTTTCAGCCCTCTATAATTCTGGCCACTAAGCCACAGATGATGGTTGCGGTGACTGGAGAAGTCGTTTGCCGAATAATTGCTACACTTCAGTGTTTTATAGTCTGATATATCCCCCAAACACCCTCGCTACTTGTAGGCAAGCCATTCTGCTAGTATGACCTGAGACAAAACCTCTAAATACTTGTTACCTTGGGGAGGTGGCAGGGAGAACCCCTCTCTACAGGGATTTTAGGGAATTGTAACTCTCCCCTCCAAATTTAGGCCCAACTGCATGTTCTTCTGTGGCCAGGTGCTGACTGCATGGGAAATAAGGGGATGGCAACCCCCTTGTTGTTGCATCCCAGCTGTGGAGCCTCTGCGCTCTCAGTTCACCTGAGTGCTCTGCACTGCAGTGTCCCGTATTAGACTGTTGCTGGTTGTTTATGACAGATCTAGCCTAGCACAGCTATCAAGTTATCCCTTAAAAGAAATCTGTACATAACTGCCTCTGCCACCCCCAGAAAAGTGGGAAAAGCCTTGGGAGTAGCAGAAGGGCTCAAATGCTAATAACATTTTTATTTCATTTGAAAGCATATTTCCATAAAATTACTTTAGCACAGACTCCCCTTTTCATGCAGTGCTGACTCTCTGTGAGATTAGACATTACACTTTAGAAAACAAGAGCTCTGTGGGGAAGGGGAGAGGAAATATAAGCAAAAATCTGAGCCTGATTTTTACCGTAGTACAGATTTAATCCAAGTTGCCTGTGCCAATCATAATCCCTCCTTTCAAGTTTGTCCTTTCCCTATGGGTCAACGGCAACTCAGTCCCTGATGCATCAAATCCAGAAACTTGCTGAGACTGTCAGTATCCCTGGCAGCATCACACAGTGCAGATCACACTTATTTGGGCTGTGGGACATGACAATGTATTCTCAGGGCCTGTCTTTACTGTGGACATAATATTGGTGTAGCTTCCCTCCTCCACTACTGCTTCCCTCTCTTGTAGATGCATTGCACTGATAAAAAGTGTCATCTTCACCTTAGTTTAAACCGTGTTATCAATTTGTTTTGCTTTTTCTAGGAAAATGTTTTCCTTTTACATCAGTGATCTTAGCCAGCCTTACTGGCGTTGATGGAAATCTGTGCTCCTACTACTCTGTGGTAAATGTTTTTTTTTTTTTTCCTTGCTGTATTCTGGGCAATGCATGTGTGCCCTTTAATAGCTACTGTTCATTTGTAAGGGGAATTGCCACGGTAGGTATTTCTTTAGAGCTTTTCCTCCTTTAGATTTTTATTTCCCTCTCCTGGTAGCACTAAGACTGTGAGCAGCAGCAGAAGTGTGAGGATAGATGCTGCCACGTTGTTTAGATCGGCTGTGGACAGTATGAACAGTAGGTTAGTTAGAAGACCAACTCTGCATTCATGTTGCGATTTGTGTGGTTTTAAGTGAAGAAAAATGTGAAGATAGATGCTGCCTGTGGCATTGCTGAGGAGAACTGGTGTTGCTAAAGCAAGGGAAGTATTTCATTCCCTAGAGTTGTATGGGGTTTTGTTTCTCACGTTTGTGCCTGTTAACTTTTCCTATACCATACAAGAGAAAAGTTTAGACGAGGAGTATCCTTTTACAGACTGTGTAGAACTTGTCCAGTCTAGTCATAAAAAGGAGCAACTGCAACTGCATTCATTAATAATTTCCAGATTTAGAATCCATTATTGTGTCTTTGTAGAGTGTGATCAGGAAGAAATGCAAAGACAAATGCTCTTTGTTGTAACAGCCAATAGGATGTATGCCTTGGTTTTCTTATCGAACTCATGCTAGCATGTGACAGAAGGAAGGACAACCCCTCTCCTCAACCTACCCAAAAGGGATCTATGTTTATTATTTCTATTGGCACAGCCTGAATTGTGGTCAGATAGGCTTCCTCTGCTCAGGTATGCTTTTGGAAAGAATGGCTTCCCTTTCTCTCATATATCCCACCTATGCAAGCCAAATCATGGTTTGGCTCCATTTTCCAGCTGCTCTATACCAAAATATGTCAACAGAATTTCCAATTTAGTCCCAAGGAGAATTTCTTTCTGGTTTTCTAAATGAGTAAAAGCTGACATTAAAAATGCTGCCAGTCATGGCATCTGATCCACAGAAAATGTCACTTACGTTAAAGGAAATCATTCAAACTTTGTTCTTTTTACTCTGCTCCTCAGTTTGGGTTTAAAGTATGTTGAACATCCTAGCTATACCAGAATATGTTAATTGCTGCTGTACAAGTACATCATTAGTGTTATATTCGAGGAGAAACACATCCCTTCAGGACATACTCATTGTTTATTAGATTTCCCATAGGAAAAAAAATCACGAAGACCATGAAGATGAAATTGTAGCCTGCCTATTGGGAGACTGCTACCCGCTGTAAGAGAGGCACAGTGGCACAGTGTGTATCGAAAGAGCAAGACTAACACTCCCAGTGGCTGATATTCTTTTCACAGAGTGCAGGGGCCCAGACCCTGATTTTCAGAGGCAGGTAACTCTGAAAGTAGGAAGGTTATCTCCCTACCTTTCCTTATTGGCCTTTTTATTCCTTTTTAGGCATAACTTGCCTTCATATTTTTTAATGACTATCGTTACTAAAAAAAGAAAATGCTTAGGTTCTTCACCTAAATGGCTTCAGTTTAACAAAGTTCTGATAATACTTGCCCTTGTCCCTCTTCTGTAAAGCTAGGCCATGATTAATGAAAATTTGCAAGTGGTTTGCTTAATATGCTTATTTTCATGAGAATTTTTTCTCTTCTTCCTCTCAGCATGCACAACCTGCACAGATTTCTTGTATTTTGTTTCTTTAGACATTCTTCAGAATTAAAAAATAACTTTGCTCCTCACTTGGACTTTGAACCCTTTGAAATGAAATTGAGTGAGTTTTCCCCATACTCAGCTGGTTAGGATTTTAAGACCTCCTACTGTTTTTCTGCATAGGAAGTGCCATAGTTATTAAAATAGATTTGATCTTTTATCTAATCCACTAGATCAGCAGCTAGTTTTGTGATTTCTGATCCATAGCAGTATCAGAAAGTAGTAAAGTATCAGTGCATTTGACAATTTCACAGGAAAAATCGTATCTGCACTGGGTTTCACCAGGGTTTATAAAGCATAGTGACTCATAGCAAATATATCTGCAGTTAGAGTTCATGCGTGCAATCAGGCTGTCTTCTCTCCTCAATATTGCAGAAACTGAGAAGACAGAAAAATACAATGTATTGATGATTGTATCACTATCTTCAAAACCAAGACTAAACATGATCACACACACACATACATACACACACATGTATACACACACATATGCATATGTAATTCAGTTATTGTTCACCATCAGCTCTAGCTTTAATTCATTAAATTATGCCTTATTTTACATAGCTGTACATGTACCTATTTAACATATGATAAAAATTGGATACAGGCAAAGATCCCTTGCAGAATTTGTGGTCCTAGTTACAAGATTCATCTTATGTGAATGTCTACAGTGTGGTCATTTAGTTTAGTCCATTCTTTTGCTTTCCTGGTAAGAGGTAGCTGCTCTAGAAAGCCTTCTAAGCTTTTCCTAACCAGATATGCCACTACTAATCTTTCCAAAATGTGATGTCAATGGAGCTGCAGCTGGTTAAAGGGCTATGCAGGGCAAAAAGTGGTATTAGTGGCTAATAAAGGCTAATTCTTTTGCAAGCAAAATTAGCTCGCTTCACTAGCTTGTTATGACTTGAAGTGTCTGGCCACTGAACTATGCATCTGGCTCATTTGTTGCTCTCAAAGAGCTTGCACCCTGACTGACAGCTGTGCCGGGCTGGAAAAAAGTAACCTAAGTGACTAAGAACAAGAGGACTTCAGTCTGTGTGACTTTAGGACAGTAGCAATCCGTGCAAGCAGCTTCATAAGCAAAAGTGACGAACCAACACAGAATATGTGGGATATGGATCCTGGCTTCAGGCACTAATTTTCCTTAACTGACTGGTTCATAACGCAGAACATTCTGTTGCCCACAGATTCTGCCTCCTATTCATGACTACCTAGGAGACATAACCGTCCATTCACTGGTTGCAGCAACCCTAACTTATCTCTAGAGACCTAATGAAAACATTTATTACAAGTCCCCAATCCTCTTGTGATGCTCCAAAGTGATTTAAACTACAGTAGAATAGCCTAAGCTCTGTAGACATATATTTATTTTTACTCACTGATGTTTTGGAGTAAATGCCACATCTGAGTGTTTTTATTATCAAGTTCCTGTTCCTGCACAATGCAGCTGTACCTATTCTAAACTCCTTCATCAAAGGGGATCATTTCCTTTTTTTTTTAATCTCAGATCAGTTTACCCAGAGCAGTTGTCCCTGACTTCCTTAAATCTGACCAGCATAAAAGCTTTTTAAACAGGCTTCCCTGCATCATTTCTTTCTTTACCACACACTTAGAAAGGTGTTTTTTGTACAAATATGCACACACAAGCACACACACACACACACACACATGCCCATGCATATTTTAATCCCTTTCTCCTTCACTTCTGCAGCCTTGTGCAGAGTCAGATTGACAAAGGACTCGTGAAAAGGCTTACTGCCAGAGAGCAATGTAGCACACACTTCCTCATGTACTTGGGGTGCTTTACATTTGTTTTAATGCTAACTTGTTTGTGACTTACTTTTCTGAAAGAAAATTGTTCACACTTCTGAAATCTGTGATAATACCATGCAAACAAATATGCATTAAAACCGGGATGATTTACTTTTTCACCATGGTATTCTTTTTGCAGGTGATTTAAGACTCGGTGTTCACATAAGATATGAAGAATTGGTGATTTTGCCTTTGGTGCTATTAAACCCTTGAATGTTGTTCCTGGATTGAGAGTTTGTAGACACCACATCAAAATACTGGTTTATGTTGGTAAGTAAATTCCATGTCCCCAAGTTTTTTTCATTATCAGATGATATTAGAGTTAAAAGAGAACTTGGACTAATGAATGAGTGAGTTTGGCTTCTATAGCATGCCTGTGACATTTCTTTTTTTGCAACACAGACCACTGTGAAGTTCTACTACCAGTGTTTTGGTAGAGGCTGGAACGGGAAAGAAGATGCCTATAGGTCCAACTCCTCACCCCAGAAGCTACAAAGGAGAGTCCTACAGGCTGATATAGACATAAGATGCCTGAACTTGGGCTTTCTTTTGCATCTATATTGCTTTCTTCCCTGTAGAACTTTTTAGGATTACTCAACAGCTGGGTACAGCCTTCAAGCCTGACATTGTGAAAGGCTGAGAGATGCAAAAGCTAGTAGTATCAATATCCTTTGCTTCCTGAAGTTCTTAGAAAATCTTGCAAGATTAAACTCCCAGTATTTTTTTTAACCCTGTAGGGAACTTTTCTCGTATAGAAAGGAAAATGTAGAGGGTCTTCGATCCAGTCTTAGACACAGAGGTGTGCTTAAATATCATGTGGAGAAGAGTCTACCATATAGTCCTTAGCAAGCTATAATTTCGCATGTTTAAATGATGTAGAGAAATTACAGAAGTGCTATCTTGTAATGACCAGGATGGTAGAGACAAGCGCTGGTGCTAGAGCTGGACCTAAAAAGAAGCTAGCCAACCAGGAAAGCATTTGCTGGGATAACTTGCTTGCAAGAGATACTGGTGTTAAGGAGACCTCCTTTGTTTAGATGCAGCCGCAGTTAGAATGGCAGAAATATGTGCTACCATTCTTGAGTCTTAGGTCTGCTGACCATGCTTGAGTCTCTGAATCTCAAGTATTAGTCTTTTTCTTGCTGGATCAGATAGCTTCTCTGAAAGAGGCAAAGAATTACTATGGGTCTACAGTGTAGACTGTCATCTTTTCCTGTATCCATTCCCATTTGCTTATACCCTCTTCCTTGCTCACACCGCAACCCTCTCAATTCACTCTCTCCAGCAGAAAAAAGTCTTAATTTTGAGGCCAGTGCAGGGACTGATAGGTTGGGAACCTTGTTGTCTTTTTCTCGTTATGGGCTACGTTGTGGCCATTGTTAAGACCTTTCCCTATAATTTGCCTCCTGAAGAAACACAACTCTATACAAATCTTTTTTACTTTGTTTTGCTGTTACCACAGTGCCCTACTGTACCTCACTAGTTTCAAATCGTACCCTCATAACAAAGGCAGAAGCACTGATCAAATCTTTTTTGCTTTTATGATCTCCCTATTTTCTCCTGTTGTAACTCCACATTTGAATTTTTTTTTCCTGCTTTTCTCTCTTTAGTTTGGGAAAGTGTTTTCTTGGAAAGAAATAACACCGTGCTACAGCAACAGCCAGCAGTGGTGCAGTTGCCTCAGCGCTAAGCTGATAATGTAGACAGTGCTGAAGCGTTTCTACTTTTGTACTCTGAACTTCTTTTTTTCTGAGCTAGTTTCCTGATTTGTCTCATTAGCACTGATTTGCTTTGTACTGAGTGCAATTGCTCTGCTGGTGAGAGTTACAGCAACTAGATCTCAATTTTTGCCTAGCATAGGCAAAGCAGTAGTGACGACTGCCTCTCCCTGGTTTTTCCTTGGCAAACTTCCCAGAAAGATGTGTACTTAATTGTACTTTGCTCTCTGTGGTCAGCAGCAATATCTCAGCTTTTAGTATCTCAACGGTATCTGTATATTTAACTCTCTACATGACCAAGGCTTCACCTCCTCTCATAAAGAGTAACTCTGTATTACAATCAAACTGAAAATACGCAGTTGAAATGATTACGTTTATTGTATATACAGTTAATTCTACTTTCATGTGCTGCTTCACCTGCCTCTTGTAACATCAAAAATCTCACTTTCTTTTGGATAAATAGTATCATTTTCTGTGAGAGCCTTTCTCTCCTTCTTCCTTGTGAAGAAACACAATACCTGAATGTCTTCTACACCATATAAAAGCTGTTATTGAGTTATGGGCAGAGAAGCATCTGTCTGTCCAAATGCTTCAAAAGAAACCTCTAAATGAGCAGACAATAGATCCAGGAACAGCACAAGAGTGGGAATATGAGACCTGCAATATGTAGTATGACTCTTTTAGCCCAGCCTTCCCTATTTCCACATTGGTGCTAAATATACTGCTGATGTCCTTGCCAGAAAACAAATGCACAGAATTTCTTCATCAATGTGTTTGGAAGGGCAATGAACACCGTTAGTTTAGGGATTGTTTCATTTCTCTAAATTTCCTATGAGATACATGTGAAAAAGAGACGCCACATTTTCATAACTGTGTATTTGTGAATGCAGTGGTGAAGTCTGCTAAACATAAGATCATTTCAATCAAATCTTTAATTTTAAATTTAGGCATTTTGATAATAAAAAACTTGACTTAATTTTTTAATCCAAATACATACCTTTCTTTCTCTTCATGAGCTCCTATTGTAGATTAAGAAAAGTAAAATTTGCATTCAAAGTGTCTGAATAGCTCTTGTGCAGTAAGAAGGTTATTTCAAAATGTTTAACTTGCTGGTAGCGTTTGCTTTAGATAAGTTAGCAATACTTTGCTAGCCACTGTTGTATTGTATTTTACATAGAAGACAGATAACCGTCCCTGGAACGAGCCTTTGCCTATAGCTAGTCGGGTTTACGTTTGTGTTTTCTTACCTCTAACTTCAGGAAATATGAGGGAAAATGATGTTGTTGAAAAAATACAGATTCAAATTAACTTGAAATTAATTTAAAAACTCAATTTAACATGAAATGTTTTTTGTTTAAAAATAGCAGGTCAATTTTGAAACATAATTATCCAGCTCTTCCAGGTTTCATATCTTTCTCACACCCAGCACCATCTTTCCTGCCCAGTTTTATAATCATGCTTTGTCCTTCCAAAAATGAATTTTTGGAAAATGTATTATTTGCCATTTTGTACCCTTAGTTCTATTAATGCAGAACAGAAAGCATCCAATACTGCAATCAGTGTCTCTTCAGATGCTTGCAGCTTCTCCTGTGGTTTCAGACCTATTCTATTCTGCATCAGTGACAGCAGGTCTTGTTTTGAACTTTAAATTTAAGTCTGCTTTTTTTTATATAGCCGAACTTGGAATGATTCCTCTTAAAAACTTTTATATAGCTTTGGAGCAAGCTTTTTAAGATCTCTTTCAGAATCTCTCTCTCTCTCTTTCTCTCACCATTCAATGAATAGTTCAAGTCTCTTTTTATAGCTTTTATCTTAGTAGAATTTTCTACTTCATCTATTGTTAAATGAAGTATTAGGTGGTTTCTAAAATAAGAAATATTGGATGCACGTTGCTTATTAAATCAGGTAGGTTTTGTTAATATGATTTATTTCAGAGTGCTTTTATTATAAACAGTAATTTTCAGTAAATAATCATGATTGTCTCACAGATGAGTAATACTTTTTATATTTCCTTTATAAAAGACTTAACCCCCTGCCACGTCCCCAGTGCATGTGGACATTTCTAACGTGTGTGTACACATGTACATTAGTACAATGTCTGAATCTGATGCAAGCCACATGGTAAGGACTGGCATATGCCACATTTCAGATGTAGCAGGTCATGGCTTGCGAGTGGGAGTACCCACATCAGCGTGTGCCTTTGTATGCCTCTTCTTCTCCAGTGGGGTAGTATGGAAGGGCCTCCACCATCACCTTTCTAGTGGTGCATTCCCCTCACTGGCTGCTCTGGAGGGCAGTTGCCTTTTTTCTTCCCAGGGAGCCCCCACAAATGCTGCAGCCTCTAAGTGGTCTACAGAGGTGCCCACTAGCTCTATCTGACAGGCTGGGATCCCAGATTCAGAGTGAAGAAGGGATGTGGCCCTGGAGCTGCATGCAGTGAGCATTGCTGGGTGGAAATTAGGGACTGAATGTGCGAGTCTGCTGTCTATGAGACCAGATAGGTACTTTGAAGTTTGGGAACTTCTACTTTTTAACGGTTTTCCGTTCTCAGCCCTACAGCTAGCTTACTGCTGGCTGACTCTAGAGAGTCACTTCATGATTCTAAGTTGCGGTTTCTTCACCTACAAAATCAGGGGTAATGATCAAAGCACTTTGAGATAGCGAAATGAAAAGAACTATGGTTATTATGATTATATTGCTTACTGTTAATATTAGAAAGGAGAGTACTGTGTTCTTGCATTCAGAAAGAATCAAATGCTGTTAGCCTAGTGGAACTGTAACAATAGCATAAGGAATGCTGGTAAAATACCAGCATGACATGGCTTGAGTTAGAAATGTTATGTATTTGCCACATGTTAGGAACCACTAACTCCAGTGGCTACTGTAACTGATTAAGAATTGTATGGGGATCTGTTTTGAATAGCCGTGATTTAAAAATATCTTGGAATGTAACACTGGAAAAGAAAATACATTTCCTGAAATCTGCCTCAGTGCAGTTTTATTTTTCAATGTCTAATTTCTGTTTTTTCTCCTGTTTATTTTTCTTTAAATTATTGTTTTAAATACTGTTTCTTCATTTGCCCGAAGAGTTGGCATTTATCAGAAGCCACATGCTGAAAAGCAGCTGTGTAGTTATATGTACTCTATTTATTTCAGAGAGAAAATCAGTATTTCAGGGAGAAGAATCTGTTGGTCTTCCTGATTTCTGTAGGATAAAAGAGAAAGGAAACTTGAAATGTTTTTTGTATGCTTCTATCATGCCTATTGATTTCTGCTTTAAGAATTAATCATGACAGTTGAAAAGGATCTGATGAAATGTTAGGCTTTTTACAATTCCTATAGCCTCTACTTAAAGTGCATTAAGCGCTTAAACTCAGCCTTTCTAAGCTTGAATGGATGTTTTAAAGTAAGAGTTATCTTCCATTTTATAATGAAACAAAAACTGTAGAGCTATGAGTAACATCACAGACATTTTTCTTCATGAACAACTTCAACAGCTTTAAATCACTGATAGTGTTATTTCTGCCCTGCAGGGTGAAGGCTCAGTGAGAAGACCTTCCTGTGCCACAGAGAAGGACAGGACATTGACAGCTTTGTAAGTACAGTGTCTAGCTCTAATAGAGCTTTCTTCTATGGCTTAGAATGAATTATTTATTCCCTGTATGTTTTATTTTACCAGTTATATAACAGCTTTGAAGTACATATGCTTGTGAGTTAAGAGTTTAAAAAAATTTTAAAAAGTTTCTCTCAGTCCTCAGCCTGCTTCTGGTGTTGTCAATGGAAGCTTTACCCTGGAGTTAAATGAATACAGAGTTAGGTTTAGACTAAGCCCTGTTAAAATTCCAGGCATAAAGAGCTCTATGAGTTTAAAAGATTGTTGTCAGCATTTGCTTTAATTTAAATCAGTAACTTTATGTATTTATTCAAATTTGCAATGTTTCTAGTCTCCCTGACACTTTTTTCAGATTAGAACTTGATCTCTTGAGGAAGTATTAGGAAGTATTCAGACAATTAATTTAGTCAGCCTGATTCTTCCTTTCATTAACCTAAAAAAACATACCTTCCATCGTCCTCAGAGCCTTATCAGAGAAGCAGCTTATGCTTGAAATGTTGCCATCTTTGACTGTTTTGGTTTTGAGGTGGAAAAATCCAGAGTTCTGGATCCTCCAAAAAACCACTTTGACTCCCCTTTGTATAACAGGGGATTCTGTCTTTGAAGCCCTCACTGCCCTTAAATGTGATATGGAAGTGGGAGTGAGTGCTGTTCAGATACCAGACCAGAGGTTATAAGTGACTCAGTAAACTGTATTGAGACCAGAGGATGGTCTATCCCAGCTCCAGAGCACTTTATGCTTCCCAGCAAGGTGCCCTGGCCAGAAAGTGAAGAGCAGCATTGTGTACTAGCTGTTGAAATTGATACTGCCTGGCAGCCCCAGGACCTGGGGAACATTCAACACCTGCCCATCTGTCTATGGACCAGTAGTGAGTTGATTATCTCCTCCTGTTAATTAATCCTGGATCTGTTGGCTTTCTAAGGTATATAGTGTACCTTATATATATACTATATTCTAAGGTATAGCTTGTAGCTTTGGAAGGTTCAAGTGGGTAGCTCAAATGGTCAGAGGGCTGGCCACAGCTATGTGGATGGTCCCTGCTTGTTCTGTCAAGCTCGCTGTCGTCAACTTTTGCTTTACTTAAACTCCAGTGAGCTTGTTCTGGTCCAAGCTTTGATGCTGTGACGCTGGCTGAATCAAATAGGAGCTGAATGATAACAGTCAGGCATCAGCAGCAGCCTAAGAGCATGACGCCTCTTTGCTGTCTTGCTAGCTGTCCTAATGGCCTTACAACATTGTACGGAGGAATGATTTCAAAGTGGCATTACTCTACGCTGCACACCTGAAGGCTCATCCATAAGAGCAGTACCCCCGGAGAGCAGTCCTGTACACTTCCATCAGAGACTGCAGTCACAGCCCCTATATCATGAATTAGGTAGGCAACATATTCCAGCAAGCCAGTAGAAGAGACAAATCTAAATGAAAAGATAGGAATTCCAGCAAGGCAGAATTTTTCTCTATGTTAGACTGAATATAACCTGGAAGCAATGCTGTCAAAGGGTTTGTATCTAGTAGTAAAGCTTAGCAGCAAATTATTGAGCAGCCGGAAGGAGACACAACAAATTCTTTCAGTCTCAAGAAAACTTTCAAATGGAGTATTGAAATTTGAGGAATTTTGTCCTCATTGTCAGGAAAACATTTCCCCTGTGTAGACTTGATTGCTTAATAGCTCTGTGATTTTAATAAGGTTATTTTGGACATCAGAGCTGCTAAAGCTGAAATGATGTAAGTTGTTGTAATAAATGTGTATGTAGAGTTTGGCTCTCGTGGCTTTACAGAATTACTCAGACTTCCTTTATTTAAAAAAGGAAACGCATTTCCCACGTGCTAAAAGCAACAGCCCTCCAGTGGAAAGAAGAACTTGGTAATCCACAAGTTGATGATAGGGGACAGTGTGAGGCAGAAGTGTCACTTGAACACACTGCTTCAGGTGCGCTGGCAGGGGTTAAAGCGGTCACAGCTCTGCTAACACAGAGAAAATAGTAAAGTGGCTAAAAGCTACCTGGCAAACAATGTCAGTTCTGAGGCTATTGTGAGTTTTCTACTCAGTGGCCATAGGATTCCTAGTCTAAAATAACTTATTTAATTGTCACTACAAGAGATGAATGCCCAGAAGAAATAGTTTTTTTAATAGTTGGAATTGACTGAGTGTAGTTTTGATGATTGGAAATGAAATAGTAAAATGGTCAAAAACATTTCAATGGTCTTGGCACATTTAATACTGTGTAACTGATTAAAATGTAAATGATTACATGGTAACTAGAAAGATGCTAGGTACCATACCAGGCTGGTAGTATGAGAATGACTTGGCAAATGAGATGTTATATATAGTATGTACTTGGGAGTGACTCAGGTAAAGCTTCTTAGTCATATGAGCATATTTGATGAGAATGAGATGTTTCTGGAAGACTGAGCAAACAGTTTGAATTGAATGCTCACTCTGTTAAGAAAAAAGACTCCTGGAGTCATACTATTGTGATCCATTTTTCTGTGTGTTCGTACATCCTATTGTCTGATCCAAAAAGCTGTAATGACCAATTAGGACATTTGTCCAATGTCCTAATGTCCAATTGGCTGGACATACAGCCAGTTGTTTAAAGACACTTAAGTATCTAAAGATGCAAATAGGTATCTAGTGGTATTACCAGAAGTGGTCAGGTCCTTGCTTTCAATTTAGTGATGATTTTGTGAAAATTCAACTCAGGGCTAGCTCCACCCAGAAATCCATTCTGGAATTTATCCGGAAAAGATGGACAGGATCCTACCCTATGCCTAGGAACACGCCTGGGATCCCTAGAAGGGGAGGCACAAAACTCAGCACACCAATGAAGAGGCTGCTAGCAAGTGGACAATGTCCAGAAGAAAGATAGGACTTATGTCTCACTTTTCTCCCAATTCAGGACACAGCCCAGCCTCCTTCCACTTGGATTCCTCAGCCGAGAACTGTTGTTGAGTGACTAAGAAGGACATTTCATGCAAATCACTGCCCCCTCCTTCACTTTGTCCTGCCACACCTCACCCCACTTTTGCCAAATCGCTTATAAGGACCTGATGGGACCTTGAGTCCGCGTCTTACATAAGGTTTACTACCTAACAAGCTTCAGGTATCATGTATTATGATCCCTTATCTGTTTGCTCAAAGCTGCTTTGCATTGCATAGCTAGCACTGGGAAACATCTTCTGTAGTTTTCCAAGAGACAAACAATTCCCAAAACTCTTTGGCCAGTTTCTAGATCCTTAGTCAGCTCTTAAAAGTGTCTCCTTTTCAGCAGTTTTTCAAAGTGCTAATTTCTAGCCCACTGCTCCTTTCTTCAAGTTGTATTTGCTCCCTCCCTCCAGTCCTTCCCTGACTTTACTTAACTGTCTTGTAGTCATTATGGAGGCATCATCCTCTCAACTCAGTGAGATTAACACTAATACTGAACTCCTATGTTCATTTCTATACTGATTAGAATCAGTCTCACTCCAGCTGTTATCTCAACTATCAGCTATCATTCTGTTTACAGCATTGATATTTTTCAGCTCTACAAATTCATACATTTCCTAGCCTGAAAGGTCCACAGAATCATTTAATCTGACCTTTTATGCAAAATAATCCATAGAAATGTGCATAATGAGAAGAAAAAACTTTAGTCTCGTTCATGGTCATGAATTGAAGTGCTGTATTTGGTTTTAGAAATTGTGCTTAACAAATTTGGACAAATCTAGAGAAATGTTAAAAAAAATGGCAGTAGGATTGCCAAAATAAGACCCACAGTATGACGTTAAGCTGGGAGAATTGTTCATGTTAATTCTGAGAAGTTTAAAGGGACACCTGTTATTGTCCACAATACAAAGGAAAATATAAAGAGAAAGGATTTGATTATTCTCTTTAGTCAACAAAGAGAAAGAAGAAAAGAAAGAAAGAAGAAAAGTGGCTCTAAGCTTTGTGAGGGGAAAATCTGAGATTATATATCCAGGGAAAGTTTTTAACTGTAAGAACTCTTAGCCAAGGAAACTGGCTGCCAGCCGAAGCTTCAGAATCACCATCACTGAAGGTATTTAGGGCTAGACTAGACGGCCGTCTGTCAAGAAAAGGATAAAGAAATCAGTCCAACCACAATGTAGGGATAATCTGACAGAGTTCCCTGCCAAATTTCTACCCCAAATACTGTATAATTAAGTTGGAATGGAAAAGGAAGGCATTTTTGCTTGCCAAATCTGTTGCTGTTATGATCTTAAAAGCACAATTAATCTCACTTTTAAAAAACTGTATTCTTAATAGCTTTTTAATTTTATTTTATTTACTTTGTAACTGGAACGTATAGAATTCAGAGTAGTTTCCAGCCATATCAATCCTAACTTAGAATATTGTTACATTTTTCTTGAAATAAAAATGAAATAAAAATATTTAGAATCTGAAATAACTCTGGGAATGAAAAATTGTTTTACAATTTTTTTCATAGGAATTTCTTGGACATTGTCAGATCACTTATGCCAAGCCTGAGGAAAGACTGTCAAGAAGATATTTATTTTTTGCATGCTTAAGTAAAGGTATGCAGGACGGTAAGACTGGAGGGCTAGGCGGATTATAATGGTATGGTTAGCTTTTTACCTCTGTGTCACAAGTTCAAATATAGGTCAAGAGGGATATTTCCCATTCATTACAGCTGCTCTTCAGGGGCTTTGAAAAGTAGGTTGGTGATAATGACTTAGTTCTAGTGGACAGGTAAGTAACTCTTGTACAACACAAGATTCAAAGACTGAAGCAAACTGGCAGACTAAGGCCACCAGTAATCAAGAACTGGGGGTTCAGATTTTTAAAGACATCTTACTTATTTTTAACATGCAAGCAGTAACCTAAGCCCTTCACGTAAATCTAAGTAGCCATTTATCTGATACATTGAATAGGTTTAAAATTACAGCCTACTGTCCTCAACAAATTTTCAGTGCAACTTTGCTTCACTACCATTCAGTGCAGCCTCAATAATCCTCTGATTTCCCCCTTGTTTACACCAGCACATATTGTAAAAGAAGATGGATGGCACAGTTTATTAGCTTTCAAGTACATTGCTGCAAGCATAGTCTCTTTTCACAGCAAAGTCTTCCACTGCATCAGTCATATCAGAGATAGCAGGCTAGTACAGAGATGAAGCAGATAATATAGTTTTAAAGAAGCTCTTTCATTACATAAAATTAATCTTTAAGTAATAAATTGATCTTCGATTAATCAAGTGAATACTGATTTTATGCAGAAATGTAACACATGGAATTTAATATTTACAAACAAAGTACTGTCCATACATTGCATTACCTCATTTATGCTGTAAAGAAAGTCCTATTTTCTAAGAAATACTGTACATTATCAAGGATAACTCATTTTTGCAAAAGTGAGTCTGGCACGTTGTCACTCTGCATGATGAAAATAAGCGTCACATGATGGAAGGGAAGCATGAATATGTGTTATCTGATGTATACAACTGAAAAGGCAAAACAGTGAAATCATCAAGCCACAGTAGCCGGAGTGAACCAATAAGAAAGAGTATTGTACACTGGAATTGTAAACAATCAAACAAAGATTACACTTTAATGTGGAACTGTGCATGATTTTTAGATGAAAAGGTAGATTGTTATTTTATGTAGTCTTTCTACACTTTGACTTTTAGGATTCTATAACTTATTGATTCCAATGGAATATATAATTACTAATAGTGAAAAAAAAGACATTGGGAAATCTTCCTCATTCTCATCTCAATGTATTCTTTTATTTGCAGTAATTTTTGATCAGATGTTAAAACTCAAATTTTAGTAGCAGAAATAAAAAAAAATCTAGTGCTCTTTATTGCAGAAAGTGTTCAAGATGCTGTATATGGGTGGGGCTGTAATATTTATGTGCATCAAAAATGCTGTTTTGTGTATCACTTGAGACAGGTCTGCAAACACGCCATGCACGTGCTTCTCATAGCCTTTATCTTCTCTTTTGAACAGTTCTGTGAAACCACATGTGTTTGAGTTTGTAAATATGGATGTCAAATAAAATGCAAGAAAGCCTCACAGTCTGAAGAATTTGCTTCTAAATGTGGCAGAGTCTATTTCCCTCATTCCTTCCGCCTCCACCACTGATAGAGAAAACCGCTATGACAGGAAGAACATACCATTTCCTCTTGAAGAGACTCATTGCTGGTGTCAGTAGCTCACACTTTTTCAGATATTCGTCTTTCTGTGTTGACGCACTTTCAACTGCACACAGTATGAGACCTGTACATTTTAATTTGCTTAAATAGGACATTTTGTGCTGAAAACAGTCAAGTCAGGCTACCACATAATGGGAGCTTTTTTATTCAACCATTCAGGCAGTGCATGGCGTGACCCAGCTCAGCTGACTGCTGAGCTGTCTCTTTTAGAAGATCAGTAAGAATCTGCAAGTTGTGCCGTTTTTACTTGCTACTTGTCTAGCACAGAATCACAGAATGGTTGAGGCTGGACGGGATCTCTGGACATCCTCTAGCTCAAGCAGGGTCACCTAGAGCACATTGCCCAGGATCGTGTCCAGATGGCTTTTGAATATCTCCAGGGATGGAGGCTCCACAGCCCTCTGGGCAATTTGCTCCAGTGCTTGGTTACCCTCACAGTAAATAAGTTTTTCCTCAGCATTGGACTTGTTTGGAATAATTCATTTATTACTGAACATATAGGTATATATCTATTAACAAGTATTTGGGGGAATTTTCTGGTGCTGCTAATATTCTCACAAGACTTCCATTGAAGAGGGAGAAAGAAAATACTACTGAAGGAAGCTTTGAGTGAACTTAAGAAAAAAGTTTCAAGTACATTTGATATTCTTCTCAAAATATTCACAATTTTGCCTGTGGCGAGCACACCTCATTACCCCTGTCATGCTACTTCATAACTTCTTTTTATATTCTACTTGCTCATCTGCTTCAATGTTCTTTATTTTCTAATTTTTATCCACCAGCCTTTTTCCAGTTTTCACTCTTTCCAGCTTGCACACAGACACCATCTCTCTTTACCGCACAGGTTTCCTACACAATAGAGATCTAGTTAGCCTTCTGAAATTCAAACGCCAGGCAAAACAAAAACTGTACAAAACCTTCACAAGGTAAGTTTTCCTGCTTCTGTGTGAGGAGCATCTACGTTACCCGTAGTAACTGCCAGAACAAAAATCACATCTTGCGCAATGAGTTGTGTTCTTGACCAACCTACTCTTTTCCCCACACTTTCCTTTAAATCTGCTAAGGTTACTACAACTCTTTTCCAGTCAAGAGAAAGTCTGGCCTGTGTGTGTGTATAGTTACAGCATTTCAGAGGAGAATATCATGTAAGGAATTGTCTATAAAAATGCTTAGAATAAAGTAGATTGAGAACAGATTTAGTACAGAAATTAGGAAGTCATTCCAGTGTTCTTTTCTTTTCTAAATAGCATATTGCAAATAAAATCTCTGAGGCAAGATTCTGGACAAAGACATTCCTTTGAAAACAGACCACAAGATTCCTGATCTTCTTAATGGATAAAAAGAAAGAATTGCTGCCAGTCTGGGAGACTCAGAACGCTCATCCTTCTGAACAGCGTGGACAAGTACAGAATATTGTCCAATGTACTCATCTCTGAGCAGAAATAAAGCAAATTTTTCTGTGCTCTGACTGCCTCATAGGAACTTGAAAAAAAAAAAGAAAAAAAAATCCCTCCCTTTCTTTTTTGTTTTTGCTAATTTCTGAACGAATTTTTTGGGGTAAGGCATTTGGAGCTGTATATTTGATTTTCACTGAGAAATGGTGATCTACTGCACAGTTCAGAGGTTTGGAGCCAGAGGTTCATTTATTTAAGTCTTGGGGAATCTACAGGGGCATTAGCAACATTTAGTAATGCCTTGTCAATCTTTGTATCTACATAGGTGTAAAACCCTTGTTTTGGCCAAACAGTGAGTACTGAGGTGAGGCTCCTTCCCAACTATGCAGTCTTCCCAACTTCTAAGCTATAAATACTTGTCTTATAGTTTTCATAAACTTTATTGCATTTTGTTGTCTCTCCTGGCTTAACAGTTATTCCCTTGTGTCTTCATGGGAAGAATACATGTCATGGCCTGGCTCTGACAGCACAAGGGCAGTGAAACAAAGAACACAAGCATGTTTTCTTCTGTTATATACCATGAGAAGGCAAACTGTACCCTGGAACAGCCACTTCCTCTGGTTGGCAGTCACCAAATTGTGAAAGGTGGTATATCTAGCAATAGTCAGGGACCACTGATTTAGATAATAGCACTTACCTGCGTTAAAGTCCTGTGAAAAGCAGCGTATATTGTTGTCTATTCTCAGTATGACTGAGGGGTATGACATTTAGATTATAAAAGACAGTTATGTAAGAAGTAGGTGACATATATCAGACGTGCTATCTTTGCTTTACAGTGTTCCCCAGTGAAAACCACAATTTCACTTTGGTTTAATGAATGTGTCCTGATGACACTGGCAGATTTATATTTTGGCGTGATCAGAAGAGTAGAAGTAACCTAGGTTAATGTTAGCAGGGCAGGCAGCATCTGATTTTAATGAGCTAACTAGAATTTTGCAGCCTAGAACTGAGTTTTTGTTGTTCTGAGAGTTTACTTCTAAAATGGAGACCTTTTCAATCAGCAGTGTATAGAGAAAAATCTTGCTAGTTGAAATTATTGTGTTAGTCAACAAGCTCAGTTATTCAGCAATAGTCTTAGAAGGCTGACTTTTAAAGGGTGTGAGATGTAAACCAGCAATCTCTGTTTTTAATTAGAGTGGATGCATGAGTTCCTTTTCAGTCTTAATGAAGGAGTTTGGAGCAGGAGATCACAGCATGTTTGAATTAATTTTGATGTTCATTTTGCACATTTCCAAGGTATCTAAGATGTGGCTAATAATAATAGCAGGTGTTGTCTGTTTCTCTCAGCATGGGGCATGAAAGAAGTGTGGCCACAGAGCTGTGCATTATTTACATGGTGTCAACATGTCAGCAAGTGGGATGGCAGAGAGCCAGATTAAATCACTTCTGATTTTAAATACAGATCACTGAATAATAATGCTGTGTCACACTTGAGGACACTGGAATCTAGTAAATCAGCAGTAGCTCAATATGCAAAGCTCTTTTTTTTTTTTTTTCATAGAATGATGAAGGAATCAAAATCAAGAGTCAAGGAAACGGCGTAAAATTGACCTTTTTGTTTTTCCAACCAAAAGAATGTATCCATCAAAGAGATACTCTTTGATCACTTAGTATAATAATGCATAGGTCTCTGCCCTCATCCAGGGATCCTTTGGATGAGCATGGGCAAATTATACCGCCCTCCAGTGTGTCTGTTTGCCCTCATCTTTGTTTTCTCTCTGTAGGTGATAAATCTAAATGGTACACTTACTTTCTTCCATTAGCTTTTTGCAGAAGCTAGCACAACAGTGCCACAGTCTCAGATAGGCCCTGCATGTGTATTTGTAGGATGCAATCACATTAATTAGAGTAGGCACTTTAAAGGTTTGAGGTTTCCCACGACAACAGAGCAGGTCTAACAGCCCTGTTCACAGCCATTGCTTCTGCATCAGCTGTGATAACAGTGTCACCACTAGAGTGGTTCACCTTGCCAGCTGGTAGAAAACTATCCCAGCAAAAGAAAAAATGAGTGGTTTTCTGCTGGTTTAGTGATCTGAACTGGCTCCCTAAAGGACCACGTGAACGTCAGAAAGAATGGACAGGAAGGAATAGGCCTGCATGACTGGGAAAGGAGGATGCAAGGAGAAGTGGAGAAATAGTATTGTTAGAAGAACTCAGCCATACTGTGAAACCTCACGCTAGAATGGTTAGTGCAGAGGGAGGGAGCTGTTGGAGGGTTAAAAGAAGCATCCAAAATACTGGGATTCATTTCACAGTGTCACCCTAATACCCTTTTTATGAAACTAGAGCTATGTATGCTCATAAAAACCTTTTGCTTTTTTTGCTTTAAAGGATAATGCAACTATTGGAGGCTGTGCACAGTTCTTTCAAGTTAAATGCTTAGTTTAACATTCCACTTCCATTTCCTGGTAGAAAATGTTTTATATGAAAGCAACTTTAACCTTTCAGAAGGGTTCATTTAGTGTTACGTTTGGTATCAGCTTTCCAAAAAATGCAGTCTGTGTTTAGCTTATTGTAGTTTCTGTTTTTAATATTGGTTTAGAAAAAAAGAGTTATGTGCCATAAGTCAGAAATAAAATATTGCGCTAGAATGCTCTCTCTACATGAATTCACCCTGTGAGTAAGTGGTTTAAAGTAAGCCTGGTTACCTAAAGCCAAGATTTGTGCTCAATGTATCCATGAACTAGCTGGTAACAAATAACACATTGAACTCTCAGCCATAGGAAACTGTTAGGTTGCCTTTTTATAGGCAACTACAGCCCTACAGCTCCTGAAGCACAAGGGAATATCATATGAACTTGAAAAGTGTTGGACACCTACCATATGCACATAAAGGAGAGTAATAAAGATGAAAGGCCTGAGCTGAGCTTTAATGCCTAATTTTCTGCTTTTGATTTATCAGCTGCTTCTGCATTGCTAAAATTAGGCAGGAGATACTTGAATTGCTTAGTCTGACCAAATCAGATAAAACTGTGCCTTCTCTGTTAGTGTAGCAGAAGATAAATGTAAAACGATTGAGTACTTTCTTGCTTTCTTTTCAGCATTATTGTGCATTCAGTTCTGAAGCACTGACTTCTGTAACAAGTCACTGCTGCAGGTGGTTCCCAGCCACGTATCACTGCTGGGGAGGTGGTGCAGTGACTGTGAAACGGGCACTGAACCAGTGTTTCTGTATAAGGGTGACTCTGAACTTGAGCTAGGGCTGAGTCGGTTGGGTGCGGTGCCATGCAAACATGGCTCAGGTGCTTTTCGATGCTTAACAGCTTCTCTGCATAGCGCTGCAGTGAGCTATGTGCCTGCCTCAGCTGTCAGGTACTGGTTTGCTCAGGACTCTGCGCTGTGGTCCATTGCCATGTGTGGATGTATTCTGGGAAT